ATGTATAACAATTAATGCATAAACGGCATATTACTCATAGTTATATTCAACACATTGATATCCTTCAAATATGCCTCAAAGGCCACAACGTCATAATTTATACACAAAGGCTCATAAATGCAAATGCAACATAGACTCAATGCATGTGGTACTAATCATCACAGCGCGATGGACACTGGGCCATCAACCCTCCGTAGATCCCCATCAATAGGATCGGAGCACATCAAAATACTTCACATCCACACAGTGGGATTGAAGCCAAAGTAATCGAGGTCCTGAACCGAAGTCCGGATGCACATGAATGCATGATGCACACTTCACAATAGTTCTCATAATAACAACATATGGTGCATCATCATTCATCATATTCATCATCATTACACGTCATATCTCATCGTCATATTCATCATTATAAATCATGTCATCATAGCTCATTGTAACAATCATCATCATACATCATGCTATCTTATCTCATCACAGTAATCATCATTATACAACATATCATCATATCTCATCACATTAATCATCATACAGCATATCATCATAATTCATCATATTACTCATCATACAACATATCATCATAGTTCATCATAGTAATTAATCTCACACATCATGCCATCATATAATCACGTATAAATCACATATTAGCTCATAGTCATATTATCCCATATCAATTCATAATACTACCCCCATATCATCTCATATTAATTTATCAAATTATACTCACGGTAATCCTCACACTATCGCCTATCAATCACATAAACTTCACAGTTCTACTCATGTTAATTCGTCATATCATCATATAGTATTTACATATTAATCCCTAATATCATCTCACATTGCCTCATATTAATTCATCATAATTACACTCGCGGTAATTCTCATACTAGCACTTATTACTCACGCAACCTCATTGTCATACTCATATTAATTCATCATATTATACTCAGGGTAATTCTCATACTATCGCCTATTAATCACATAAAATTCATAGTCCTACTCATGTTAATTCATCATATTATCACAGTTACCCTCATGGTAATTCATCAGGAAAATCGCAGCATCAAAACGTCAAGACATCAATGAACCAAAACATGATTCATTAATAGGACAGATACACAATTGACTTCTCAAACATGATTAGATATAAAAATATTGGGGAACTAATTCCCTTATCTATACTATGTTATAGCCCTGTTCATTAGCTTTCCAACGCTTCGAACGGGGGTCAAAACGGACTTACGGATCAAAAGTTACGTCCAAAACGATTTCGACCGAAAACATGAACAGTCGTGACGGACAGCAAAACGCTATTACGCTCCGGAACCTAAATCAACCCAAAAGTCCACACGATTCACTTCCCCAATGCCTCCAAAACATCCCTAAATCATCCCTAAGGTCTTACGGCGATAAAGGCACAAAATCTATGGTTTATTAGACCAATCTGGCAACATTTGCACTACCTAAAACACTATTTTCTTGCAATTGCTCTGAGTGCATCAGAGTTACTCACATTGAATATTCCTATTTCTACAGGGTCAAACATATCACAATCCAAGGTTTTGGCCACGAAGGCCTAAGGTTTCCCTTCTCATATCAATATTCAGTGTTACATACCATTACCCCTAACCTTAAAGCCTTATCATCAAATTCCCTATTTTCCCATAACCAACCCAAAATACCTTAAATCACAAACCAAACATAAACGCATCTAAAGGAATACATAGAAAATCATGAACAACGATACTCCTCATACCTTAGTCGATTCAAAGCTTTCACGATTAATTTCGGCAATCTTCTGAAGCTTTTGCCTCCACTGATCCCTCCTCAGAGCTCTGGCCTCCATTCTTTTCATGGTTAACAAAATGAATCCTCAACCTTCAGAATTCTATTGTGTCAAACTTAGACTTGGACCACACAATTGGGTTTTTCCCATAACACCCTTACTAACTCTTCATAATGCCTAATTTACCCTTATTCCACTTATATTCATTTTAATCGATAATAATACTAATATTCTCATATAGTATACTATTAATTAAATAAATAGTCCAAAAATGCACATTTTCTCAATAATCCACAAAACCACTGAAAACCACCCAAAATACGAATATTCTCAATTAAATAATTAATTAAAATATTTCGCTTTGTGTTACAAGTGCCATCATACGTTGAGAGTACCGGGGGCTTCTCCATCCCGTGGGGAATGGGAGCGGCCATGATCTCCCGGGATAAGGGAGTTCTGTAATCGTCCTCGTCGCTCAGTACGGGGGATCGAGGGGGAGATGGCATGTGCGGTCGAGGAACCTGATTTCGCCCTCTTGGCTGCCTAACAGGCGGCTCCGTTCGCGGGTGTCCGGCTGGAGGGTCTATCCAGGCTGTTCGGATCTCCCGGATTCGTCTCTCCCTCCTTGGTGACCTGGATCGTTGCCTCGACACCACGGGTTGGGGCCTCTCGAGACGCGGTCGGCGGTCCCTAGAGCGTGGAGATGGACTCCTCGAGTCTCCGTTCAAGTTTACCCACGGAGGGGACCTTAACGGGACTTCTTGTTCGAGCGCGCCAATTCTCTCGTTCTGTTGATGCAGTAGTTGATTCGTTTGGTTGATGGCTGCGAAGCGAGCATCCACCGTTGGGTCCGCTCCTGCCGGGACGGGGATAGGTTGGAAAGCTGTCGGGCCCCGCGTCGGTATGGCAGTTTGGTTGGCAGCTCCGTCGGATGAGGGGGAGGCAGTCTGCCCGTCCCTCATGTCAGTCTCCAGGTAGTCGGAGGTTCCAGTTTACTTGCCGCCATTCGTGGCAGGAACGTGGACTAGGCCGTGAACGACATCGTCGCGGTGTGGGCTATCCATGAATGCGAAATGTCGGTGAAACTTTGGTTCTCTGCTCGGAGGAACGAGGAAGTTTATGTTCCCACAGACGGCGCCACTAATCTGACCTGATCAGAAGGAGGTCGCGAAACGGCCACACTTTGTTGGGCTTCTGCCTGTTCTACGGTGCTAAGGACAAAGTGGGGGTGTACCAGCAAGACACTCTGATGCTAAAGTAAGTGATTTGGACGGAGTGAGAGCAAAGTACAGAAAGGGCAAGATGTGAATTACCTGACCCTCTTGTGAAAGAGTGTATTTATAGAGAGACTCCAGCGCTGGGCCAACGGTCGCTTGTGTTGGGCTGGATCGTCAGGCCCAACCCAGGCGACTGTTAGGGCTTACGTGGCGTAGTGAAGACCAGGACGTGGTCTTCGCCCTAGTTCAACTGCTCTGTGAACTTCGGAAAGTGGGTTGACTTGCTCTTTCGGAGGTGGACAGTTTGGTGGATGACGTGTCCCTGCAGAGGGGAGCACGTGGAGAACGTGTGAATGGCACGTTGATCTCCCCGCGGAGGGGAGCTCGTGAGGTTTTCCGAAGGTGTGTTGTTTTCCCCGCGGAAGGGAGCACACGAGGGCGTGGGGGAGACATGTTGTCCTGCTCGTTGGCATGGGGATTCTGCCCATGGAGGGATGTTCTGCCCGACGAGGGACAGTGGTTGGCAGCGCGTCCCCGCGGAGGGGATGCGCGCAGAGAACGTCTTGAGGCACGTTATTCTGCTCGACGGGAGCATGCTCTGCCCGTCGAGGAGTCACGTGCTCGACCAACCTACTTATACCAGATTAGGGATTTATCGTGCATCATTGGGCTGGGCCGCGTGGTTAGGCCGGAGCCCAGGCCAGAACACACTATATTTCTATGCTCTTTTTTTAACTAAAAATAGACCTATTTTAATAATAAAAAATGAAAATGGACCTTTTAATAGTGTTGTCCCTAAACTAGAGACAATAGTTTTAAGAACCAGAAATGAAAATGTAAGGTGGGTAGAATAAAAGAAAAACTAATCCTGGAGCATTTTTGCCTAAAAATATAGATCATGAGACATAAAGTTTAGAATGATTTTGGCAACGCCAAAGCAAAGAATTGAAGCTTCAAAGGCAACGAACGTATAGGATAAAAAACAAGTTTACTTGGTTAAAACCAAACATGATATTTTTTTGATAAATCACTTTCGAAGACCTACAAAGATGATATTTTTCTGACAAATCACTTTCCTCGCAAAAGAAAACTGTCATTAAGACAAGTTAAGAACGACATAATCTAGTCATTTAGCTTAAACTCTTTTGCACTTCTAACAGTTGTACGTGCAAATTGGCAGGAACAGGTCTATATGATTTTACAAAATTTTCAATTTCACCAAAGTGTTGTTTGTAGCTTGAGCTTGTGTGCTTGTATGTTTTCATCTTCAATTTGAGTTATTCATTTAACAGGGAGCAACAAAAGGTAACAAATAGTAGAAAAATCATGAAAAAGCAATATAGAAATGTCAGAAAACTGAGACTGAAGAAGCAAAAGGTGTCACAATATTAGACATCTAAAATTATGACAATAAAGTGAAAAACAAAGAGGAGAAAGGTAATCAAAATAGGAGCCACTCTGAGGCAGCTACAACATGAAGCATTTTGCATGTTTAATGGAGCAAGGAACCAAAAAGAACGTATAGTACGTGCTTTTGGGTACAAACATCCTAATTGCTAACGTTAGAATCATCCATGGTTCGCACCATGCCCATATATTACCACTCAATTTGATTTCAAAAATATTACCAATTAAAATTGTTTTGAAAAATAGCATTCTCAATATTACTTTAAGGAATATTCTTCACTTAAAAAGACATAGCTTTTACTACTGGATCTAATTTTAAAAAAAATGTATCCATTCAAGTTTTTGGCACCAATAACCTTTCTCAAACCAACAAAGGCTTGATTTTAGCTAAGGCATAGTACTTCCAACTGCTCAACATAGAACTTAATTAAAGACGTGAGAATATGTAAAAGTGGTGGAGCAGTACCCTGTAACTCCGGGGTATTTTGCTGAGACTTGCTATTGATATATTTTGCTGAAACTTGCTTATGAATGTTCAGAAATTTCAGTTCCTGTTTGGACTTGAGAGCTGCTATCCATTCAGCATATACCTACCTAGCTCCGGAATCAGGACTAGCGTCTCCATAGGAAACCAAACCCTTCTGTCCTGATGCAGAACTTGATCTAGACCTGTTACGAGATATGGAAGTCCTTTTATTATAAAGCTTTGGGGGTGTAATGTCAGGGGATCTCGATCGAGAAATGCCATTGCTCCTTGAATTTGACTTTGACTTCTGTCTGTCTGGAGATTGTTGATTACCTCGTGCACCTAGTCGAGATTTTAATTTGTCACTTATGGGAGGTCGCCTGTCTTCCGGGCTAAGACTGCGTTTTGGACTCCGTCCACGACCATTGTCTCTATAACGGCCTCGTACTGGACTGCGGGAGATACTCCTGCTTCGACTTCTTCTGCTTTGATATCTAGACAAATAAACATGAAAGTAAGTTCATGAATCATATATACTAGTCGAATCTTACAGACAAACATAACCATGCATAATGCACGTGGTTTGGAATGAATATATACACATTATGTGTATTACATGCAACAAATTACATGAAAAGGTGAGAAACGGGGACAAAGGTAAATGAATATGAAATATTAAGTGAAATATATATCCAATCACAGCATACCCCCATAGACTTAACGTAACTGTCCAGTTATATTTATTAAACAAGTGCTTAATCTGTGCATATGAGAGGATGATTTAGATTGAGGGAGAAGGAACCTGGGACGATTTCCCCTTGGTGGGCTTCGAAAACGTCGTGGTGGTGAGCGCTCAGAATAGCTTCTGTAGCTTGTATTTCTTCAAATACAAATATTACAAGTCAGAACAACATCAAACAATTTTTATGGAATCCATATATTAAAACTGTATACACAAAGAGACATACCTATCAAAGTTCCTTCTAACATTTCTATCCCCATAACGATATGCACGGGGAGATCGCTCTGGAGATGGAGTACGGTATCTGCGTACAAAGGCATAGCGCTCAGTAAAGCCTCGTCCTTTTTTAACACGCTTACCATTTGGCGAAGGGCTTTTTGAAATGCCCTGGCCATGTTTGGAGGCAGCTGCAGCAGGATCAGAGGATTTTTTATCAGGGCTAGCCGATAGAGCACGTCCTCGGTTCAGCTCCCTAGAATTCTTGGCAGGACTTCTTCCAGGACTCACATCTCTGTTAAGTAATATGTCAGATAAACTTGGTATCTTCAAGTCCATGATGGAGTTGACAACTTGACCCCCTTAAATCAAAGCAAAATTCACTGCGTAGACAAATCATTATTACATGCGAACTGAGCAAGATACATACCTATTGTGATCTGAATCATCTGAATAAGCTCGAAGATTAGCAGGTTTACTAAATTCAGCTTGAGTATCATGCCCGTTATTCATATATTCACCATTTTCTGGAGACAATTCACCTTCTTCGTGTGATTGCTTGTCCACAGGCTTTCCAACTTTGGGATCCACCACTAGTTCTGGAATGGTTTGACTTTGCAAGGGACGGCTAGAAGATGGCTTTCCTATTTCTGTAGCATGAGCAGCCATTTACTTACCACAATATCAACATAACAGTGCTCATAATATCTTTTAACTACCTATGTGGAGGAAATACGAGAGATGAGTGGGTACAGCAAATGTCGAGAATTAGATAAATACCCATACCTTGATTATTTTTAGCTTTGTCGGCTTGTATTTTACGACCAGAAACACGGCGATCAGCTTTCCTATCACCAGAACTACTGTCACTAGCACTGGAACTGTCACTTTCTGTATCACTTGAACTATCAGAACTCCTAAAAAATACAAAAGCAGTTTAATTAGAGATCAAGCAAACTGTAACTGAGGAAGGTATACTATAGAAAAATGTCCGTGAGTCCCCATTAAAATCTAACTATAATCAGACTTTTTGGACTTGTGTTTTGATCTTCTACGACTGTGCTGGCTTCTTTTCTGTTTCCGCCCAATACTTCTCTTCTTCCCATGCCTGCGTTTATTTCTCTTCCTCTTCTGGTGTTTCCCATAACTAGAAGAGCTCGAATCAGAAGACGATGAATCTGAATCTGATTCGGAATCTGAAGATGAATTTGATTCAGAATCTGAGGAATTATTATCACTGCCACTATCAGATGAAGAGTATCTCCTCCTTCTCTTCCTCCTGTCTTTGGAAGATATTTTTCTTTTTCTACTTATTTTTTTGTCAGCATCAGAGCTATCATCAGATGATAAGGATTTCACTGACTTTTTCTTTTTGCCTGTAATAAGAAACAGTTCATATATTACAAACAATTACAATCGGCAAAACTTCCAAGTGACGAGATTTTTATAATATACTCGTTAGTATCTTTTCAGACTTCATCACAAGTACCTTTCTCCTTCTCAACAGCATGCTGGCTTTTTGCTTTAGAGACTTCACCACAATCAACAATTTTAATTGGACTGGTAGGTTTCCCGTCTGATGTCCCCAGCTGCTCCATTTTCTTCAGAATCTCTATTCCTTCGGTAACTTTTCCAAAAACAACATGCTTCCTGCAACATAATGTGAAAGTAAAATATCAAACCTCAAAAAATGGTCATCATGAAAAGCTTGAAACTATTGAAGTAATAACCAACCAACATGGACCGCGGCTGCAACAAAAAACAGAAAAAAGGCCAAGTTGAAAATTTTAGGGGACATCAAGAATGAGAAATGCAGATTGAACGATCATAATGGTGTGCAAAACAATTAATGCACGTCAGCTTGAAAGTAACATGCAAAGCTTATATACCCATCAAGATGAGGCTGGCGCTTGAATATAATAAAAAACTGAGATCCATTGGTGTTAGGACCACTATTAGCCATAGAAAGAACGCCAGGTCCATCATGTTTAAGTTTGAAATTTTCATCTACAAGGAATAAGTACTAGTAAGTTTAGTCAAATGATAATTCATAAAAGTAACTAGCCATGCATAAAAAACTACCATCTTATATTTTTCATATGTCGAATATTTCATAAAAGCTAAACTTACCTGCAAATTTTCCTCCATATATACTTTCTCCACCAGTACCTATCAACCATACAAATAATGTTACTTACAAGTCTTGGTAAAGGAGAAGTCAAAAGGAGGATCTACATATTAAATTTGGTAAATAACAAATAAAATAAATAAACATACCATTGCCCCTTGAAAAATCACCACCCTGTCAGGACATAACAAAAATTGGTATTATCAAGTGCTGAAACAATTAATTATAAAATGCAAAATAAGTTTTGACAGGAATATGGTAAAAGAGTATGGTGAATTCCAAAATTCTGTCGACACTGTCACTTCTGCACAAGTTTATGAAAAGAATATTTTACTGCAAGTGCACAACACAGTCCTGAAACACGAGATGACACACTACCTCTAACATAATTAGCTTAAGACAATCATGTAAAGAATAATCCCGAAAGGCAACTTACTTGAGCCATGAAACCTTTAATTATACGATGAAAACCTGTTCCTTTATAATGCAAAGGTTTCCCGGTCGATTCTCCAATCCCCTTCTCACCTGCAAACATAAAACAGTACAATTACAGAAAAAGCAGAGCAAGACAATGAAAGAAACAACCATGAAAGCAATGCCGTCATTTTGAGTAACATTTTAAAGTCTCAAAGCAAAAATTTATGAATTCTTTATTGAGTATCTGATATGTATCACTTTTAGGCTAGAGTGAATTCTAACTATACTCTCATAGGAATTGATCCAAACAAGACAAATAACTTCCAACCCAAACTAACTACTGTTTAGCCTACTGCTGAACAAGATGCCCTTAGTTAAAACAACGCTCTTCAAGGAACAAACCAAAACATTAACTTAAATAAGAATGAAGTTACCTGTACACAAGGCCCGGAAATTCTCGGCTGTCTTAGGAACTACGCTAGAAAAAAGCTGCACACAATTTCAAAAAAGTACAGTCAAACCAACCAATGAAACTAAAGCAAACTTCAAATATAATTACAAGCAGAGAATCATAAGAAAAATCACTAATTCAAATTACCTCAATAACAATTCTTTCAACCGGATCTCCATCAACCGACACATCGAAAAATACACAAGGATTCTTTTCCAGACTCATCCCTCCACAATAAGATGCTTTGAATGCAAATTAGAAATGACAAAAACGATACAGAATCAGAAGCAACTATCCAAGCGTGAATGTATGTATAGTATCACAAGGAGCATTCCAACTTTCAAGCCAGTACTAATCTATTAAAACAGAGAGGCATAGTTAATCTTTGCGCATCAAACACTAAGAATTTTCAACATCTTCCACAAGTTTTATGTTTAAATGAACAAATTTGAAGTAAACAAACAAAATTTGAAGCTTCACAAAACCCTAAACCCTACATATCCATTTCATTCAATGTACTATTATACTCAATTTCGTTGCAAATTCTAGTAAAACCTAGATCTGAGTATTCACCGTGCATCAAAATTTGCATCGGGAAAAGTTAATACAACTACTCATGACAAGAGTGCAAACATTCGTTAACTCATGTAGCGGTTGAGGAAGAAAAAGATGAGAAAAATCTAATAATTTTCTAGCGTTACAAGTTTCACGTTGGTCCTAATTATGTTTACAAAGAGAGAAGAAAAGACTCACCGTGAACGGTGGCGACAGTTCTGTAGCATCAAACACTGACAGTTACGGTGGAAGCGGTTCGGCGTGGGAGATAGAGGGAGCACGAGCGCACTGTTGAACTGGATTTGGGCCATACTCGCTGGCCCAATAATATATTCTATCGTTTTTTGCAGAATCCGTTTTTCTAATGTACACACCCTTCTCAAACCTCTCATTAGTAAAGTGTTTAGTTCATGGAGGTATAGTTTACTAGATTTGAGAACAATATTTGTGGCATACACGTAAAAGGGGGAAAATGATTAATGTACATTTTAGAAACTAATTAAATAATATAGAATTTATGTGTACAAATAATTTTCGAGGATTATATATTTTTCATTCTCATTAATATTGGATTATCTGAAGAAGTCAACACTTAAACATTTCTGAAGGACATCGGAAAGCAATCAGAACTCAAATCTTAAGCATATTACTTAATTAATTCTATTAAGTACTCTAGTTAAACAACTCTTGCAACTATTCATGTCAAATACTTCTTTCAAACAACTCTTGCTTAATTAATTTTACCAAACACTTTAGCCAACACAACTCGTATTGACAACAAATTAGATGTTGAAACATCATTTTCATATGTTGCCTAAAATACATTTTGTACATATGTTGTTTGGGCTAATGCGGCTAATCTAAAAGGAACAATGGTATTTAATGTCATGTAAAACATGACATATCATTATGTTTGAGTAAAAAAACACGATGGATTGATCAAAACTCAGTGATTTTAAAATGTGAGAAACAACTTTGTGAACGAGTGAAACATGAAGATCAAAGTTATAACTAAGCCAAATAAATATAATTATTATAGTAAAAAAAATTTAAAAAGTTGAGTATTTATGGGTGTTCAATTTCTCAATGACTTCCACGATTCATATTGTTGATGTTTGTTGAAAAACTTCTACGTGGCCTAATATTGTCAATAAACAGGGAGATTAGAGCTATATAAATCGACTCTAGTTCTTCGTCATAAAATGCACCACTGAAAAGCATTTTAACCTTTTGTTTTACTGTTTTTTTCCCTGTTATACTTATGTGTTGAAGTGTTACGAAGGGTGTGTTAGATATTTTCCTTGAAGAGTTTGGGTGCATTGGAGTCGTGGGATGGTTGAGGTTAATCAAAATGTTGTAACAATTTTTACATAGTATTGGTCTCTTGTTTTTATTAGGCAATGGTCGTGATTTTTCTCCAATTTTAGAGTTTCCATGTCATATTATTTATGCATGTTTTCTCCTACAATTGGTATCAGAGCTTTGGTTTGGTAGAGTATAAAATTCTTCTTGTGCTTTGTAGTTGTAACTTTATTTGATATTTCACATCATAAAAGAGTTCTTATACTCTAAAAGTACTTGTTGGTAAAAGTTTTGTGTAGAGATGCGATGTCTCCATCTCTTGTGGTCCTAGAGAATTAATCTTTTTGTTTCTCCGAACACCCTCAATAAGTGGTATCCAACTCTTGGTTCGACTTGGTGGGAGTTGAAGTTGTATTTTTCTATTGGATCATATTATAGGAGATAAAAATTTACACTTGTGGGGGGATATTGTTGGATTCAAATGTGAATGGTTAAGTCTCGTGTCTTCTATAAATGGGCAAAATAACGACATATAAGAGAGAAGATTTGGGTGGAGATGTAATTTATTTCTCTCTCTTATGGTTCTAAAGCATTTGTGATGTTGGTTTAATATAAAATTATTAGTATGCTTTTTGGTTGCAACTTTTTCGAATCTTCCACATTTGAAAAAAGTTTTTATATATTAAAAGTGTTGGTTAGGAAAGGTTATGACTACAATGTCTAACTTTAAGGTTTACGTACTAAATTTTAGAGCTTGTAGTACAATTCGCATGTTTTTGGCTAAGCATATTTTTATGAATGCTCATGGTATGTCTTTAGCCAATAAAATTTAAAGAAACTTGAAGGGTTATATCAGGAAAAGGGTGTCTCAAACCAATTGTTATTAAATAAGCATTTTCATAGCTTAGGTCTGGATGAGAATATGGAAGTGTGTGATTAGATATGTACACTTAACAATATTTTCTATTGATTAAAGACATTGGAACCAAGATTGATGATAAAGATAAGCCTTTAGGCTCATATGGTCGGTTTTATCTTCTTATAAGCACGCTAAACCCATTTTGATATATTGGAAGGAAACTTTGAGCTTTAAATAAGTTGTACATCAAATCACTTATGAAGAAAGAGGATTGAAAAGTAAGTATAAAGCTTCATTGAGTTTGATGATGATAGTTAGAAGTAGGCATGGCAGCGGGGTGGGTCGAGGGGAGATTTAAGCAGTCCCGCAACCGCACCCGCCTCCCTGAAACAGACCCGCCCCCGCACCCGCACCCAACCAGAGGTAAAAAAACTACCATCCAAACCCACCTCCAATGGAAAACGGGTTCCCCTACCCCAACCTGCCTCCACCCACAAAACTATTTTTTTCATAACAATAAAAATTAATAATTTAATTAAATAATTAGTCATTTTAATAATAAACATGTTTCTAAAGAGTAAAATAATTAATAAACATGTTTTTCTAATAAAATTATTTTTAAAAATTAAAATAACTCTAATAAATGTATAATAAAATAATTAAAATGAGGCATAAAAATAAATTAAAGTAGACTCGGGCGAGGGCGGGTCTAGATTTCCTTGACATGCCTAGCTAGAAGTGTGTCTTGTATGAAGAAAAACAATGAAATGGTTCAGGAATAAAATAATAAGATTTTACTATAAAAACACTCGCTAAATAGATTTTACCCTAATCTGTACTAATATGAAGCCGCCTAAAGCATCATTCTTTGGGATAGATTGTACGACAGAAAAAATGTTCAATGTTCTTCTATCTTGAACAAAATATTTTTTTGTCCTTGTAATATATCTCACATAATGGTGTTGGTGTTGTCGTTGTTATATTTTTTGGAATAACCCTCAGTTAAAGAAGGGTACTCAGTTGATAGATTGCTAGCGCAAAAAATCATTCTTACTTCAAGTTAAACAACTAATGGAGCTTAACCAACAATGAAGGAAACTCAACCTTTGAAAAAAGCTCAGTTGATAGATTGCAAGTGTAAAAAAATATTCCTGCTTCAAATTAAAGAATAAATGAAGCTTAACCAACAATGAAGGGAGCTCAACCTTTAAATAGTACTCAGTTGATAAATTGCAACTGCAGAAAATCATTCTTGTTTCAAAAATATTTGTTTTAATGGGTATGCAACAAAATTTGAATATCACTAATGATTTGTTGTAAACAATGTTTTTAATATTTTGTGTAAAAAATGTACTTTAAAATAAAATAAAAGAAACAGTCACCTCGTTTTTACTTAAAACCGAGGTGATAGTTAATATAACACCTCGATTTTATAGTAAAATCGAGGTGGTTAGTGTTCTGGCCTGGGCCCCCGCTTGGTCGGGAAGGCCCAGCCCACTTATACTTGATGAAAGGCCCAAATGAGTTCCCCTCATCTGTGTCGAGCACACGGCCCCTGTCGGCCAGGCATTCCCCGCCGGGCAGGACGCTTCCCCCGTCGGGCAGAAAGACGTGTACCTCACACGTTCTCCATGTGCTCTCCTCCACGGGGACACGTCATCAACCAACTGTCCACCTCCGAAAGAGCAGGTCAACCCACTCTCCAGAGTTCACGGAGCAGTTGAACTAGGGTGAAGACCACATTCTGGTCTTCACTACGCCACGTAAGCCCTAGCAGTCACTAGGGGTGGGCCTGGCCATCCAACCCAACTCAATAGACCATTGGCCCTGCGCTGGGGTCTCTCTATAAATACCCTCTTTCACAAGAGGGTCAGTTATTCAATTCTCATCATCTTTTCTGTATTTGCTCTCACTCTGTCTAATTCCTTACTTTGGCATCGGAGTGTCTTGCAGGTACACCCCTTCCTCCTCTTCGACACCGGTGAACAGGTAGTAAGTCAAAGACGCGTGGCAGTCTAGTGATTCCCTTCTGATTAGGTCAGATCAGTGGCGCCGTCTTTGGGAAAACAAACTTCTCCGTTCCTCCGAGCAGAGAACCAAAGTTTCACCTCAACCCTTTCGAATCATAACTAGTCCACGCCATGACGACGCCGTCCACAACTCCTTCGTCGTTCCGCCTACCAACGGCAACGATCACATTGGGACATCTCGACCACATGAGACCGACGCCAGGGATGACCAGCACGCCTCCCCTTCCCCCGAAGGCTCCCCGCTTCTCAAAGCCCCTCAGCCACGAAGCCCGACAGTGTTCCAGCCTATCCCTACTCCAACCGGCGCGAACCCGACGATGGTTGCCCTCTTTGTGGCCATCAACCAGACAAATCAGATGTTGTTCCAGCAGAATCAGCGCATTGGTGCACTCGAGCACGAAGCCCCGTCCCGCTCCCTTCCGCGGGAAGAGCGGCACGGGAACTCAAGGAGCTTGTCGCCCCGTCCACGATATCTCCGA